TTGAGCTTGAGTAGGCTGAGGAAGATTGTGCCTGAAAAGCACCACTTATATACTGCTCTCCAGGCCAAACCATCACCAGGGATACAAACTTACAGAGACGCTTTGTTTCCAGCGCGACAAACACCTCGTGAAGCCCCAGGTAGCAGCGTGAGTCAGAGTCGCTCATGGAGTTGTGCTAAACAGACGTTGAGAGCCAGTATAGCTATTCACAACGCTGTCACCTCCAACAACTAGTCGCACGTCCGCGTGAGGGACAACAATACGAACTTAGAAGTTGCGACTTCGGCGGTAATGTCATGAAGTTGGTTGCTCCAACGAGGAGCACACGCTTCTTGCCGAACTTGACACTTGACTGACTCACGACTGCCATCCGGAGCACACCAGGAGCACGTCGCACCTTCCGCTCGGCAAACCTGAAAGAAAGCACCACTCCCTGCTCAATACACAGTGTTTCGGGGAATTCACCCCTCATCAGTTGAGCTTGAGTAGGCTGAGGAAAATTGTGCCTGAAAAGCACCACTTATATACTGCTCTCCAGGCCAAACCATCACCAGGGATACAAACTTACAGAGACGCTTTGTTTCCAGCGCGACAAACACCTCGTGAAGCCCCAGGTAGCAGCGTGAGTCAGAGTCGCTCATGGAGTTGTGCTAAACAGACGTTGAGAGCCAGTATAGCTATTCACAACGCTGTCACCTCCAACAACTAGTCGCACGTCCGCGTGAGGGACAACAATACGAACTTAGAAGTTGCGACTTCGGCGGTAATGTCATGAAGTTGGTTGCTCCAACGAGGAGCACACGCTTCTTGCCGAACTTGACACTTGACTGACTCACGACTGCCATCCGGAGCACACCAGGAGCACGTCGCACCTTCCGCTCGGCAAACCTGAAAGAAAGCACCACTCCCTGCTCAATACACAGTGTTTCGGGGAATTCACCCCTCATCAGTTGAGCTTGAGTAGGCTGAGGAAGATTGTGCCTGAAAAGCACCACTTATATACTGCTCTCCAGGCCAAACCATCACCAGGGATACAAACTTACAGAGACGCTTTGTACTCAAGCTCAACTGATGAGGGGTGAATTCCCCGAAACACTGTGTATTGAGCAGGGAGTGGTGCTTTCTTTCAGGTTTGCCGAGCGGAAGGTGCGACGTGCTCCTGGTGTGCTCCGGATGGCAGTCGTGAGTCAGTCAAGTGTCAAGTTCGGCAAGAAGCGTGTGCTCCTCGTTGGAGCAACCAACTTCATGACATTACCGCCGAAGTCGCAACTTCTAAGTTCGTATTGTTGTCCCTCACGCGGACGTGCGACTAGTTGTTGGAGGTGACAGCGTTGTGAATAGCTATACTGGCTCTCAACGTCTGTTTAGCACAACTCCATGAGCGACTCTGACTCACGCTGCTACCTGGGGCTTCACGAGGTGTTTGTCGCGCTGGAAACAAAGCGTCTCTGTAAGTTTGTATCCCTGGTGATGGTTTGGCCTGGAGAGCAGTATATAAGTGGTGCTTTTCAGGCACAATCTTCCTCAGCCTACTCAAGCTCAACTGATGAGGGGTGAATTCCCCGAAACACTGTGTATTGAGCAGGGAGTGGTGCTTTCTTTCAGGTTTGCCGAGCGGAAGGTGCGACGTGCTCCTGGTGTGCTCCGGATGGCAGTCGTGAGTCAGTCAAGTGTCAAGTTCGGCAAGAAGCGTGTGCTCCTCGTTGGAGCAACCAACTTCATGACATTACCGCCGAAGTCGCAACTTCTAAGTTCGTATTGTTGTCCCTCACGCGGACGTGCGACTAGTTGTTGGAGGTGACAGCGTTGTGAATAGCTATACTGGCTCTCAACGTCTGTTTAGCACAACTCCATGAGCGACTCTGACTCACGCTGCTACCTGGGGCTTCACGAGGTGTTTGTCGCGCTGGAAACAAAGCGTCTCTGTAAGTTTGTATCCCTGGTGATGGTTTGGCCTGGAGAGCAGTATATAAGTGGTGCTTTTCAGGCACAATCTTCCTCAGCCTACTCAAGCTCAACTGATGAGGGGTGAATTCCCCGAAACACTGTGTATTGAGCAGGGAGTGGTGCTTTCTTTCAGGTTTGCCGAGCGGAAGGTGCGACGTGCTCCTGGTGTGCTCCGGATGGCAGTCGTGAGTCAGTCAAGTGTCAAGTTCGGCAAGAAGCGTGTGCTCCTCGTTGGAGCAACCAACTTCATGACATTACCGCCGAAGTCGCAACTTCTAAGTTCGTATTATAATACTATTATTATTATTATTATTCTTTATTTCCACGATGGCCCATGGCCAATAAGGAAGTTGATATGATTCAAATCAGTTCAGAATCATATAAGATCAGTCTAGCAAGTAAGGAAACCAACACAGGATACTAATAACTGCGACTAAAGGGGGGGGGGGAAGAGAGAATACGATGTATCTGTGATACTGATTACTATCTGTGATACAACGTGAGGATTACTGAACTACACGGGGAGGGAGAGCAGAGCGATCAGCAACAACTC